CTGTTGTAACTGCAATGGGAGAAGCCGCATCTCTCCGTTTTCAAGGAAGCCCGAGAGTTCATTCGTGTATAGCACTCACCTGATGCACGTGAAGCCTGTCTGGTCTGAATGATTGCAGCTTCATCATCCCCACCCTACAACACAGCACAAACAGCAGGTAGTAGTCATTCGGGTACTTTCTGAGCAAAGAAGTGAAATGCTTGTAGTAAGCGTTGTTGTTATTTAGCTGTCAGTCATGGCATGCTGTGTAACAAATTGCCCCTAAGTTCAGATGATTATACAAGAAGTGATCCATGTTTTTACACTAATGGTTTAACACTAATGAGTTGAGGTTTTGCTGGTCCACGCGAGGCTCAGCTAGATGCCTTTGCTATGTGCTTCCCAACTGCATGGCATGGCCACAGCTTCGGGATTAGGTCCAGGTCCAAGTGGCAGCAGCTAACAGGGGACGTGTGTGCTTATGGCACAGAGGCCAGTCAGTGACACAGTGACCAGGCCTCTGCCTGCATCATGCTCATGCACTGGCCAAAATCAGTCATACAGTTGGTTCTGAGGTCAGAGAGTCAGGCCAGGGTCACATCCCTGAAACTATTGAGGGTGAGAAAATATTCTCTAAGTGATATCCCTGTCTGTCATGGTTTTGCATATGGAAATAGTGGCTTAGCTCAAAGATGAATTCTAACACCAGAGATAAATGGCTTGCAATTAGAGTCCTGTGTATTCAACTGTGTTGAGGTCTCCTTTTTTCTCTCTAATCCTCTTCTCTCCAGACGTAGGCAGTTGAAGAAAGCACTTTAAAATGCAGAAAGAAGTGAAGCGAGTAGATTAAAACTTTACTGATTTTATAGAAAGTTTTCATTAAGTTAAAATAAATGTTTTCCTTTAAAACATATTAATATTTAATATGTCAAATAACTGAAAAAATAATTCTATTCCCACTTTACCTTTGAGGTTTTCTGAGTGCAGAATTTACCAATTCCTTTGTGTAGATTATATATATATATATGTACTATGCAGTCCTTGTTTGAAATCTGAGCGGAGCCTACAGCCCAGTCTGTCTTTAGTAGTCATCTTGCAAAATCAGACAAACAAGAAGTGTGTGTGTTGGGATGGGAGGGGGACTGGAGGTAGGGGTGTATTCAGGGTTAAGAATGTGCTTCTCATTTTCAAACACTGTGTTTTATGGATATCAAAATGTTGGTTTCATTTATCCCAATTTATAGAAGTGTGCCCAGTGCTTCAGGGAAGACCTGCCTTCTGGGTGTGCAAAGGTGGCCATTTTATCTTTCCAATATTAGTATTCAGGATAATAATTCAGGAAAAGGGTAAAGGTCTTTTAAGCTTCCTTTGTTGTCAGTTTAAAAATATCCTGTAGCATCTACTGGCTTCGATAATTTCTCATATTTGTTTGTAAACCTGTTCCAGGGAGCAGCATATACAGAAGCAACCATAAGATAGGACAGAGAAAAGCGAGCAGGTGGACGTTGGTTTTAAACAGTAACGAGGAGTGCACATCTTGACATGAAAGAGCCCACAAATCAGCTCACCACATTTCCTCCATTGACTCCAGTGTAGCGTACACCTCACATTTGCTCCTCTAGGCAGAAAAGTTGGTCCCGACTTCTTCTCTGGTTAAGAGTTTTATAGTTTAAATTTTTTATTATACCTGTTTATTTGGGGTGTGTGTGTGTGTGTGTGTGTGTGTGTGTGTGTGTGTGTGTGTGTGTGTTCCACAGCACACTTGTAGAGGTCAGAGCACAACTTGTAAAAATCAGTTTCTTTCTACTGCGTGGGATTTGGGGATTAAACTCGGGTTGTCAGGCTGGGTAGCAAATACACCTGTGTACCTGCTGAGCAATCTCAACTGCCATACAATTTTTATTTTACAAATAAGATGCTCAAAGCCAAGTTGAGCCAGGATTCTTAGACCCATTTCCTTCAAAGACACAAAGATCTGATCAAAAGGACCCTGGCTTTATTATCTCTCGTGGTATCACATGCCTTACGTTATTGAGGAAGGTTTTCCACTTGATTAATTATGTGTCCTCTAAGCAGTAGACTTCCCCATTCTCTAAATCCCCATGGCCTCACTCAGGGTACAGTATTAACCTGCTTAATCTCACCCAGGGGATTATACAGCATCACAGTCTCTAAATGTATTCTGCAGTTTGTGTGCCCATGTTTAGGGGAAGGCTGAATCTGCAGGTGCATTGCCACAGGTTCGTGACTTCACAGTCAAAACCATCCCCTAAGATGGTCCTGAGAGTGCTGTGCTCACTGTGAAAGACAGAGAACGTGGCCAAGTTCTCCACGGAGCTGTGTGCCTCCGTCCGAGTGCATCAAGGAATGCCTTGCACACAAACAGCTCTTCCCAGCTCCCCGACCTCCATTCCTTTCATGCCAGCCTGGCCAGGCTCTGCCTCTTTCTGCCCTGCCTTGCCTCTTCTCCATTTATTCTGTTCATGCTACAGATCTTTCTCTCTAGAGAGAAAATTTTTACTTTAATTCTTTCTCTGATTGTTTATGCATTTTTACAACTTTTTGTTTTACAATATGTTTAAATAGGAATAATTCTTATTTTCAGAGTAATTTAATCGAAATTTTAAGCTTTGACCAAATTTTAAGTTGAATATTTACAGATTCACCAAAGAAAATAAATCTTGAAGACATATGCCCTTTCTATCAACTTATCATCACTAAACAAATGGTTCAATCTTGGGACTAAGGACAGGGCTCACATGTTCAGCACACATAACACTCTAGCTGAGGACCAGAGTTCAGATCCAAGCACTCATATCAGGTAGCTCACAACTGCCCATAAATCCAGTTCCAGAGGATCTGACACCCCGGTCTCTGAGGGTATCTCATTGATGTGGTCATACTCATGCAGAGACACACAATACACATAATGAAAATAGTTCTTAAAACTTCTATCATTAATTTATAATGGTTAATAGGCACTCATCTATAAAGTAGTGGACATGATAGTTCATGTAATTTCTATACTTTGCATAAATGTATTAACATGTTATACATAGTTACTTCTGCTTGTGTAAAACTGTACATATGTCCTTCATGTATAATAAGGAAGACACGAGGGATATCCACAGGTAGTGATGTCAGAATCCTCAGCTGCAGTGGACGTGAACCCCTGAAAGACAGGGCCTGTCCTTTCAGGTGGCTAGCAGAGAAACCTTTCACGTGAAGGACTGGGAGCCAAGACTTACTGAACAGGAGATGGAGTTTTTAGTTTTATGTCCTTAAAAGCATTCAGTGGGTCGTCTGAATTATGGCATGGTGGCCAAAGCTCTCCCACCCCAGACTTTTGGGGGCCTCCCACGAAGTGAGTCCTGCAGCGATTGGAATGGGGCTTCAAGCTCTTCTTATTTTCTTCATAAAGGGAAATGTCTCTAGGGTGCCTTGTGGCTGTCTATTCACAGTGAACACAACGGCTGTGGAGCATAGGATGGGCTGACAAAATTCTACCGAAAACCAACTTCTGCATTGAGAGCTTGGGAGAGAGAGAGGAGGGCTGGGAGGAATGGCAGGTGCTTTGGGTTCCAACAGCAACCCGTGCTCAACACAGCGCAGCAGCTCACCTTGCTCTCAGCACAGCCCAGCTCACCTTCCTCCATGCTGAGGGCTCTGCAGGGCACTCTCTAGCCTCCCTCCGGTCAGGGAGGTCCTCAGCTCGCCAGGTCTTCTGAGTGGCTGCCTCCCCTATGCTTTAAAAACTCTCAGTAGCAACAGGGAAGCTGAGGGGGCTCCTGGAGCACTGCTGGGCGGTGAGAGAAGTCAAAATGGTCCTGGACTCATTGTGGGAGGAGACAGCTGAGACTGAGCAGGTGCCAGGATTCCTGAGTCTCTCCAAAGTGCCAGCCCTTAGTGCTGCTGCAGCACCCCAGCTCAGCCACAGAGGGCTGGATCAGGAGACTGCACACGGAGGAGGTGGAACGGCAGAGACCCAATAGTGGCCAGAGAACCACGAAAGACAAGGGCTCCAGAAGCCTACAGGGAAGAGTGGAGGAAGCAAGTAGAAGGGAGATGCCAGCCAGGGCCTAGACTCAGTCTGATACAGTTTGCTCGTCTCTCCACACGGGGGCACTCAAGCACGTTCGAATGCGCCAAAAGGAGTTTGTTATTGGAAGCCCTGGGTGCTGTACAGCCTTTGGGGTCAAGGCTTCCCTTCTCACTGCATCTCAATGCCAGGATGGGGGTGGAACAAGGTTTGGAAAGGTTGCTGACCTCCAAGCCCTTTAGCGTTTCCCTGTATTTACACATAGACAGGTAGGCTGGAGCCAGGCATGCCCTTGAAAGGCGTTGCTCCTGAGGCTTGCACTAGGCCAGCACAGGAGTCCCGCGGCCTGTTCTAGACTTGGTCTTCCTTTCTTAAAAAGATCAGAAGAAAATGAGTGTATTTTTGAAATCTTACGTGGTGGAAGGAAGATGAGTCCGGGAACAGATGCTTCTCTGTGCCTACTCCTTACAAGACCTGCCCTCCTCTCCCACCTCCTCCTACCGTCCTGCAGCCGCATTCCTACCTCAGGCACCCAGGGGTCTTTGCCAAATTTAACCAAAGTCGGAAGAACAATACTAGGTGGGAGTCCCTGGAAGACAGCTGTGTGCTGCATCCCAAAGAGGATGCGATGGGAGCCGTGGCCGCGAAGCCCCGGGATGCAAGGGCAGTTAGGGTTTCTTTGCTCAGTCCTAGCCTCTTGAAGCGCTCTCCTCTCTCCCTGGGGCATTCGGCCTTTGCCAAGCTAGGAGTGCCCCAGCCCTGAACCCTCATCCACGACCCAACTGGTGTTCTGAGAGTCCTCCTGCATCCACCTCCAGCTCCCTGGAACTGGAACTCCCCAGGTGCCATCACCACGGCAGGAGCTGGGTACCCCGCTGAGGAGGGAAAGGAGGAGCTGCTAGGGGCCAGGGCGGGGACCAGGAGATGAGCCGGGGATGCGAGCTGGTCTCTAGGTGGTGCCAAATAATGGGGCCTAGACATGTCCCCTCCCTTGGTGTGCTTCTGGTGTTTTGCTTTCCTTCCGTCTGTTTGGTGAGGCCGAACGTGGCTGTGGCGAGGACTTAAAAAAAAAAAATAGCAAAGCAGAAAGAGAAAGCGATCACTCCGACCCCTGGCTTCCGCGCCGCCGGGGAGGGGGCGGAGAAGCTGAGCCAGGCAGAGTCGCTCAGCACCCAGGCGACTCGCGAGTGGCGCGGAGCGGCCGGGCTCGCCTTTCTTCTTTCCCCACCGCCTCCTTTTCCCCCCTTCTCTCTTTTCTGCTGGAGGGGGTGGGGAGAGAGGAGAGAGATAGAGAAAGGAAAAAAAAATTTTTTTTCCGAAGCATCCAAGCCAGTAAGCCAGCTTGCGGCGGCCCATGGCTTCTCTGTACCAAAGGTTCACCGGCAAGATCAACACCTCGCGCTCCTTTCCGGCGCCCCCGGAGGCCAGTCGCCTCCTGGGTGGCCAGGGGCCGGAGGAGGACGCGGGCCCGAAGCCCCTAGGGCCGCAGGCGCAGGCGGCGGCACCCCGGGAGCGCGGCTGTGCGGGTGGCCGGCCCCGGTTCCAGTACCAGGCGCGGAGCGACTGTGACGAGGAGGACGTAAGAGCATCGCGGTGGGTGGGTGGCGGTGGTGGGGGCTTCGGCGGGAGTCATGGGCCTAGCGACTCCTGGGGGTCTCTGGGTCCCCTGCTCCTCTCTTGCCGTTCCCCCTGCTGTGCCTGAGCGCGCTCAGACACTCTCCTTGGCTCCTGATCTCAGTCACCATGGTCCGGAGCAGGTCTCTGCGGTGGTAGCCAGGAGTTGGTGGCTGGAGCAGGCAGGGTTTTGGAGCTGCGCCCGCTGGGATGTGGACTATGCTTGGAATTCACTAGATTCGTGGATGTCTGTTTGTGGCCGCAGCCCGCTGTGGTTCCTAAGGAGGGAAATAGATCTGTGTATGCTTGGAGTTGTGTTGTATGTTTATTTTCCTGCTCTGAGGCTCAGGGAACAGCTAGTCCAGACTCCTTCCCCCTCCTTCCACCTGTCACTGCAACTAGCCAAGGTGGCCCTCCTCTCCTCTTCAGGCTGCCCCCCTTTTCACTGTCCCCAGACACCTTCTCTCTCTACACCCGAGCATTATACCTGTGGTGTGCTTTTCCAGAAAAAAAAAAAAGAAAGAAAGTCCTAGCTCCAGAACCCTGGCCTCTGACCCAGGCCCAATACAGCTTTCGCTGCTAAGTACCATGCATGCAAATTTGGACTGCAAGCCTGTGGGCCAGCAACTCTACTTGGGCCATCCTCCTTCCTTTAGAAGAAGTTCTCAGAGTGGTCTCTTACTCTTGAGGCTGGAAGTCTGGGCTTCACAGACTGAATTTACGTACTACCTTAGTAGTCAAAGAGTCTTTCAGGGTACCGGTGGCTCCCGAGGTGAAATGGGTTGACCTTGCAGCGGGTCAGTGCAACGAGGACTTTCAGGGAGGGAAAGCTTTTTCCAAGACCTGGAGACAACAGCCAGACTAGCCCTGAGGCAGGCAGGTTGGGCTTGGCTGGTGTAGCCTTGTAGAAATAGGTATGTAGTGTTTGAGGAGTTGCCGCGATCCCTTTGCAGTGCTGTTCTGAAGCACCTGGGTCTTTGTACCAGCCTCTTAGTCTTCCTCACCCTTGCGGGGCAGCCCATTGCCCTGAAGGGAGCAGGAGGTGTGGCCGCGAGACTTGGAGAGTCCAGAGTAACAAGACTGGGTGCTTAGTAAGTTTTGGTGTAAAGGATGTGCATGGCGGGACGGTGCTTCCAGGGGTAGGGGATTTCAACTGCCAGATCTTACAACACCAGTGAGGCCACACTACTGTTAATAGTGGGGTTTGGTTTGTTCTGTGAGGCACAGGGACTACCACAGAAATGACAAGAGTTGGAGGGAAGCCCATAGACCACAGCGAGGCATCGTGCATCTTTTTCTCTGGTCATTTCCAGATTCTTCTGATTAGAAAGAGAAACCAAAGACTAATGACCCTCACTCCAGCGGGCCAAGGAAAAAGGAAAAATTATTCTGACATCCGTCTCAAAGAACTAGAATTTCTCGAGGAGGTTATCAAGCAATAAAGAATTCTGGAGGATTCTATTTATTTAGGATCCTGGGGACATAACTGGGTTGCAACACAGGCAGGAAAGATGCACACCCCTCTCCCTGAAATCTGGCTTAAAAGCTTTGGATTGTGGTTCTGGAATGAGCTTGCTCTGCTAAGCAGGCTCTAGATGTCGCTAGCAGAAAGGACAGACAGGGCTGGAAGCACCAGCTGGTCTCCGCCCATCAGGATTGGGTTTGTTTGTTGTTTGTTTGTTTTTAAGATCCTCGCTGGGAGCATGCATCTCCCTCTTTTCATTTTGATGCATATCTAGAACTGCTGCTCAGATAAGCCAAAGTCTGAGATCAGCCGCAGATCAAGGATATTGAAGCAGTGTGACATGTGTCTCTATGAGAGCTCTGAAAAGGGGCTTTCTCAAGCTCAGATGCATCATGCCCTGACTCTGTGTTTGTGTCCTGTAAAATACAGAAGTGTGTGTTTGCATGTACCCATGCACATGGGCATTGCTCAAGTGTGTTTCGTGTACTGTGTATATATTTTTCCATTATTGGGTCATAATAAGCACATACATGTCCTACAAAGTAGCAGTTGTGTGGGATGAAGAAACATGAAGGTTATTCATCAAGAGCTTTATAGATAATACAGCTGTCATGTGGAGGGTTCTTGATACATAAGTAGATTTTAGCTGTTCTTACCATAATACCAACAAAAGTAGCCATGTGAGGTGATGGACATGTTCATTTACATACTCATCAACCTTCCTACTTCTTATATGTGCCTACAGCATCATGATGTTTACCTCCTACCTTTACTCAAGAAAGCATAATTAAATTTCAAATGTAGAGTTGAACCAATGAAACAGAGCTAAATGTAGCTCCAATTTAAAACATCCCTTAAAACAAAACAAAGCAAAACAAAAACTTCCCTTTTAAAAAAAAATGGCAAAACATTTACCAAAAGACAGATGCACAAATCAAACCATTTTTCTTCCAAGAACAGAGGCTGCAGTTTATTTGCAATAAAAGGTAACTGGTAAAGTTCTTTGTTTTAAAAACTGCTAGACATGTCAATCTCATGTTACATTTTTTTTTTTTTAATCAAGTGGAAATCCTAGCAGAAGATATGTGACTGGTTAGGACTATTTTGCTTTATGAGAAGAGATGAGGGGGGAGGGAGGGACGAGAGAGAGAGAGAGAGAGAGAGAGAGAGAGAGAGAGAGAGAGAGAGAGAGAGAGAGAGAGAGAGAGAGAGAGAGAGAGAGAGAAACTAACTTGCGCCTACTTACTTGAGGAACCTCAATGCTCCCCTTGGAGCTGTTCCGGGTGCTGAATGCAATCTCCCCATTAGCTCATAGAAAATCTCCATCACCTGTGTCTGAGTGAGCAGTCTGAATACAAGACTGGTGACCTCATCACAAGTCTATGTTCTGCCAGTCAGGCATAGCTGTTGCAATATGCAGTGTATTAGTTTGTTTTCTCTTGCTGAGATAAAACACTGGTCCTTTGGGCTTGATGCTCCTACATCAATCATTAATCAAGATAACGTCCTACAGAATTGTTACAGGCCAATTTTATGGACACATTTTCTCAATTGATGTTCTTTGTCTCAGATGACCCAAACTTGTGTCCAGCTGACCAAAAAGGAAAAGAAAAGAAAAACCAACCAGTACATACAGAAACAACTTCCCAGTCGGGGTTATCTGATGCTGGTAAATGACATAACTTTAAAACACAGTGGGTTTTATGTATCTTGCCTTAGACCCAGAGATGGAGATAAAAAGTGATATTATAATGCCTAAAAATGTGTGCAAACAAACATGAAGACTGGGAGAAGACTCAGTGAATAAGAAGCTTGCCATACAAGCATGGAGATGTGAGTTAATATCCCCTGAACACATGTAGAAGCTTACCATGGTAGAGTCTATAATCTCAGTGATGGTGGTAGAGATAGGAGAATCCCCAGAAGTCTGTGGGCCAGCTAGCCTGCTGTGTGCAGTGGCAAGCAATGAGAGACCCTGCCTCAAATAAGATGGAAAGAGATGAACAACACCAAATCTGTTCTCTGGCCTCCACAGAAGCATTGTGGTACTCCCCTATTTTTCTTTCTCTGTCTCACCTTTTTATTAATTAAGTAAAACAAACATGTCTGTGTATGATTGAGAAAAGGTAACTTCCATGAGATTTAAGGTACTCTACAAAGACCTAGATGAAATCTAAAGAAGTCTGTATGGAGCACTCCTCACTAAAGTTGAAGGGCTAGTGATGAGCTAAGAAGATATCACCCAAGTGCAGACAGTGTGACACTGTGACCAATGACCTGTTTGTCACCTGTGCAGGTCCACAGATAACCTCTTTGGGTTGTGTCATGGTTAATCACAATTGCTAAGTTGATTGGATCTGGAATCACCTGGGAACAGGCCATGGGGTGTACCAGTGGGGGATTATTTTGATTTTGGTTAGGTTAGTTGAGGAGGGAAGACCCACCCACCATGGGCAGTACCATTCACTGGACTGAGATCATAGAGTATAGAAAAATGAGAAAGTGAGCTGAGCACCAGCCTTCATCAGTCTGAAACCTGACTGTGTTTGGATGCTGTGTGACCATCTATCTATCCCAAACTCCTGCTGTTTTGACTTCTCTGCCATGATAAACTGTACCCTGAAAATGTGAGTGAGAATCATGCATTGCTTTTGTCAAGGCATTCCTCCACAGTGACAAGGAAAGAAACTGAGATGGTGGGGCTGTCCTACAAGTTGGAAATAAACCCAGAGGGTCTCTCGTTTTAATCAGTTTCCTTGTAAATTTTACATTTATTTAAACAAAAGCAATTAGTTGGACAACCCCTTTGAAGAACCAGTAGCCACTTTCATGTAGACCTCATTGTGTAGAGTTAAAAATAAGTTGACCCTAAAAAGCTACTGAAAGTGGCTTTTAGTGAAATGTAGTGACTTGCTACATCTTGGAATTAGCTGTGACTCATTTTAAAATACCAGCTTTTGTCGGGACTGTACTTGAGCATTTCTCTCCCATCTCTGAAATGGCTGCAGGGGCCTTGCACACTGTCACAGTGGTTCTTCTGTTAAGGGTACATAGCCACTTCTGCTTTCTTAATTTTGGGTGACTCACATTCTCCTAATGATATTAACATGTGGATGGCCTCATTTTAAAACCACCAACTGGCCAAAGCTGAGATCCATTGATACACCACTGCCCATGATGTCAGTCAGCCCAATAGGTCCAAGTTCTCCATCCTGCATGTCATTTTAGCCCTCAGTCCATCTTCTTTTCCTCTATCCTGATTTTCCAGTGGGGTGACATCATGTGTCCTTGGGATTTATCAGTCTTGTGACTTGTTTCTTAAGCAGCTTGCCACCACAAAGATGTCCATATACTCTGAAACCTTTTTCACCAGTGTTAAATGACTTTTAAATTTCAATTGCACATTATTTTCCTAACATGATAAAAAAAATAATAAGGCTAAAGCTTTCTGCTGTCCTATCCTTCCCAGAACCTTCCTCATCACTTCATTGGCAGTGCCT